ATCATTACATCATATTTCCCTTTTCAAAAGCTCCCCCAGTTATCGCAATTTCTGGAATGCAACATTTCAGAGTCGCGACAAGAGCAATAATTAGATAAGGGGCTGCTTGCACATACACACAAACTAGGAATCTAAAATCATGAGCAAGCATAATTCAATCAATTATTTCATAATTAATCTAAGCTGACACACACACAAGCCCTCTCATCTGCATACAAGGAACTATAAGGAGCATGATAACTCATAGGAAAGCTCAACTTGGAAGAACTTGTTTCAATGAATTCATGATTTATTTATTAAGTAGCAACATTATTATTATTACCGAGACACTGCCAACAGTTCCATTTGCTGGAAGCTCTGTTCTTCTAATATGTGTTTTACATAAGCAAGAATCACAAATATACTGAACTGTTTTATGCACAGTCATATAAGCTATGTTAGGTGATAACTAGTACTTACCTTTTGTTATACAAGTAAAGTAGTCGTTGTCACCTTCACCTATCTGTTCTCCTGCTGCTTTTCGCTTGTCTGGATGGTGTTTCAAAACCATGGCTTTATCTATGGGGAGTAGAAGGAAATGTCAACTTCAGAAGCACCTCCCTTCACGGGCTTTATCATCAATTGCATATTGCCTGTTTTAAACAGCAAAAATGTTTTAAGCAGCAAAAAGTATCCAAACAACAGCGATACCTTGTACTTTCATAGACACCCCGTGAGTTGAACCATATTACATATCTGTGGGGTCTTAGCTATCCTTAATGGAGGACAGAAATGTAAGTAAAATTATTTCCCTCTCCCTTTCATGAAATGCAAAGTGGCAAAACAAGTACTTTGTGATGTTTCATACATATTTAAGGTTTCAACATCTCACCCCACACATTAATTTCTGAATACTAAATAACTAATTATACTTTAACTACAGTATTGAAAAAAGGCAACTCTGCATATGCAAAGTATTGTATTTTAGGATGCAATCCTAACCATGCCTATGGGGTTGAAAGCCCCCATTAACTACAAATGGGTTTGGGCTGTGAAACCCCAAACCTTCACACTACCATAGCTGATTTAGGCTGATGCAGCAGTTAAGATCAATAATTATGAACCTTTCAGTATTTTGTGTGTGTGTGTCATCTTTAGGTTTTGAACTAAATTGCACAAGGAGCTACATTGCATCAGGATTCTGAGTTACCACATAAAAATTACAAATGGATCACAGGCTGCATGTGTGTGTATCTTTGCCCCAGATAATAAATCCTTAATTTCAGGTGTTTTACTTCAATTGGAAGTCAATGTAAAATGCATCTTACTGTTTTTCTTTAGTTTTGTGACCCCTGAACACATGTATTTTAAAGTGTTCTTCCTCCCCACCCCATAATCATAAGTCCTAAACTAACAACCAGACTCTATGTTTCAGCTGAAGAACTGTGCCAGAGCAGTCAAAACCACATTCTTGGTGTCCTTTTAAGTGAAATGTTCTTCCTTTATGAAACCAACAGCTTTCAGTACAGCACAGAACTGTTCATATGACCTGAAGCATTTTCAATACAAAAAATGAATGTAAGGTACTTACGAGCAGCTTTTATTTGCTTCTGAGATGCCTTGTATCTTATATGTCCCAGCCCAAGAACTGAATAATGATCCTGATTCTGAGAGAAAATTGCAAATATCAACAGCTATTTATGGTGAGTAGCAACTATTGAGCAGCCAAGTGGCAGAGTAAGCTAAACTACTCTTTTCCTCCTTCTGTTTTCTTGCCACTTTTGCCTTTATTGCCTTTCCTTACCCCTATAGCTCCTCCATCCAGAACTTCAGGTTTTGAATAAGGAATTGTCTTTTAAGAGACCTTAAAAAGGAGAGAAAGAAGACCACCTCACTTCATGAGAGAGGGAAAGAACACAGGTAGCTGCTACAGTGTGGTGCCCTACTTCTCCAACTCTCTAACAGTTGCCACAAGAAAAGTGTTAGCAGAAAGAAATGTGAGCACAACAGAATGAAGCAAAAGCAAAAGAAAAGAGTTAAATGAAAACAGGCATGTATAAATTAAGCACAAGGCAGCGGCAATGCCTGTTAATGGAACTTTAGAATGCAGACTTCCATATTGCCACTGTTAGCTGATCTGACCAGACCTTCATATTATACATTCATCGTATATTTTCAAAGCTTCTATAATGTTATATTTTTCCATGTGACGCATTGACACTGTGCTGTTAGCTTAGAACTATTTACTTAGTATCAGCCACTGGGAAAAGTGCCACTCTTTAAGTGAAACCTAATACCAATCTGAAAAAAGGAGAGGGCACAAAATGCTATTGGGCAACTCAATGGGGCTTACTCCTACGTAAGTGGAATTGAATGTTGAATTTCCCTAAAGTGGGGACGGGGAGAACTAATTTTTGTGTGGCTGAAAACAATCCTTAAGATCAAACCACACATGGAATAAAAGATGAAGCAATTCTCAAGAAGCAATATAGAATATATTGCTTGAAGCAAAATAGAAATATTTCAAATTGTTAGTACTGGTAGGAAATCTTCACTAAAAAATGAACAAATACAATTGTAACATTAGATCATATACCTTCCAGTCCTTTGGATCAAGTGTTTTTAACATAGGAAATTCCTCCAGCTGCAATTCTTCATCACCTGACTCTTCAGAGAGCTCTTTCTCGTCTTCCAGTTCCTGGAAAGAGGCAGAAACATGTATGTTTCTCCTCTTAACAAATGCTTCAAACCATCTTCCCACAGGTTCAACTTGGCAAAGCACAGAAGCTGTGAATAAAAATATTACAAGCTTAGGAGGCACTTCCACTGAGCTAAAATCTTCACCCACTACCAAAATCTGGACAACCTTGTATTTATTTGGCCAAAAGTATGTGTTCTGCAAAGATAAGACACAGCAAATCCTAGTTTGGCATCATTAAAGTATCATATACACGAATAAATGCACTCTTATTTTGCCCTCTTCAAGGCAGCCTATAAAAACATATACCACACACACGTTAAGTACCAGCTATTTAAATTTGTTGTAATTCATCAGCAAACCCGTCTTTATAATTGTCATTACAAATAGATATTTGATAGGCAGATGTTTGAAAAGTAGTTTTATTAGAAATAGGTCACTTTTAAAGTGCTTTTAAAATAAGAAGCACTTTAGCTGGTTAACTGTATTATAACTGACACATTTCTGCCACACTTAGGGTAGTAGATGCTGTGCTTTAGTCAGTTACATGTCAGGGCAACATGGCTCTTCTATCCGCCAAAGAAAAATGTATTTGTTTCAGGTTGCAATCCTACAGTTTATAGGCTATGCACCTGCTCAACCTGCAAGAAGGGCTTTCTTCTACCAACATAACTGCTTCAGGTGTGCGTGTGAGACACCTCTCCCCAAAAAGATGAGGACTCGCTTTATTCGTTTTCTTAAAAAAATGCATGAATAAGATCGGCAGTATTGCACTAAGGTAGTAAACAGCGCATTCCTACATGAAGCCTCTGTGGGAGAAAAAGCAGGAGAGATCTTCTGCCCAACAATCTCAGTAATATGTCCAAGAAGCAAACGAGCTAAAAACCCCTCCATGCTGCACAACCTTCTAGAGCCGCGGATAACTGTGCGACAGGCAGAAATTCAACAGGGGCAGCTTCTACCAGCAAAACAGCTACATCGACGGGGTGCCGGGGAAAGGTGCGCTGGGTGAATTTCTGCTCCTCTTATGCAGCTCCCGCGGCAGGGGGGGGGGGAGGCGGCAAAACCGGGGCGGCGGGGGGGGGGGAGAAAGAGGGAAACAGCCGGGGGCTTTCAGCGCCGGAGAACCGACTAATCCCCCCCTCCCGACCAAGGCCTCGTGAAAGGAAGCCGCCTCACCGGGGACTCGCGGAGAAGTGGCCCCCCTGCGAGGCCCCCGGAGGCGGGGAAGGCCGGAGGGGAAGGAGCCGAGAAAGGAGAAGGGACCGACCCGAGGACAAGGCTCTGGAGACGCCGGTGACCTGCCCCTCGGGCGCCCCTCTCAGCAGCATCGCGGCGCCGCCGCCCAGGGGAGGCCGCTCCGTCCCGGAAGAAACGGGTCCGCCGCGGGTGTGTTTCCCCTCCGCCGCCGCCGTCGGCCTTGGTCGCGGGTTGCCAGGAGCCGGCGCATGGAAGGACCCGGCGAACACTTCCGGGGCGGGCAAGCGCTTCCTGTCCGCGGCTTCCTGTCTTCCGCCTCGCCTCGGAGCGCGACGGAGAGGTTCCGCCGCACAAGGGAGCTGCAGGCCTCCCTCTCTCCCCCGCCCTCCTTTTGAAATGAAAGGAAGGGGTGGTTGGGAAGGTCGCGTCGCCCCTTTTGATGAACGTCCCTGCCATCTTACATGTTGTAGAGAATTAAAGTTTTGTGTTTTTATTAAACTGCGCACAGGGATGTTTGGCGAGCCGCTGCGGGAGACCTTCCCGCTTGAAGGCCTGAGGGCCGCAGATACAGACGCAAATAAACATTTCAGATCTGCTTTTCTCTACAAGCGACAAAAAGGCCACCACAAGAAGTGGTTTCTAAGCCTCTTATTCCTGGGAACAGCAAAGAAAACAAAAGCCCCAGACAGTCGGTGTTTGGGGGGGGGATAGTTCTGAAGAGATTTAGCCCAGTCAGTAGAAAAAACACGATGCTCTTGATTTCAGGGTCGTGGGTTCGAACCCCTCGTTGGGCAAAAGATTCTGCATCGCAGGGGGTTGGACTAGATGCCCCTCGGGGTCCCTTCCAACTCCACAAGTCTCTGCTTCTATGCATTCAGACTCCAGCGAGGCGGGTGGGCGCGCGCTGTGTCTCCGGGAGGGTAAGATTTGTGGAAACGCAGTAATTTTTTTTCCCGCGGCTCAGTGGCGGCTGCCCATTCGAGAAGGAAGATCCGGCTGTGCGCAGCTTTAAACTTCCCCCGCATCTCTATGGACCTATTCCTTCACCCCCTGTGTGGAGAGGGGCCTTTTCCGGCGGCGGCAGGAAATGCTCGTGACGTATTTCCCGTTCAGTCCCGGAAGGAAGAAGCTCGGAGATGCTGCGTAACGCGCATGCGCAGTAGCAGCCGCCGGTAGAAGGAGTCTCCGCCGTCGGAAGCTCTGAGGGGGAGACACGATGCCGGATTACCTGGGAACCGACCAGCGCAAAACCAAAGAGGAGGAGAAGGAGGACAAACCCATCCGCGGTGAGCCGGGGGCTGCTGCGGAAAAGAAAAGCCCCCTGACGCCCATTCCCTGGTTGCCCGTTGGGGTTCCAGTGCGCATGCGTGCCTCTCGGATCCCCCCTCCTCATTTGCGCCCCCCCCGCCGGGTCCGCTGTTGCGCCCGGATAACGCGCAGCCCAGCCGTCGTGTGTGGACTTTCCCTAACACCGCGCCACGACTTGCTCTGCCCATTGGGCAGCTTCAGAAACCACCCTTCTCCCCCCCCAAACCCTGGTACCCTACAGATGTTTTGGATCTGCAGGTGAAGGGCGGTGTATGAATTCAATTTAATTTAAAATCTTGCCCCACCCTACGTTAAACGTAGAATTATAGAATCTTAAGAGTTGGAAGGGAACCTGAGAGTCATCTAGTCCAACCCCCTGCAATGCAGGAATTTCAGCTAAAGCATCCAGGACAGAGGACCATCCACCCTCTGCTTAAAAACCTCCAGTGAAGGAAAGTTCACAACCTCCCAAGGGAGACTGGTCCACTGTCAAACAGCTCTTACGGTCAGAAAGTTCTTCCTAATGTTGAGTCGAAATCTCCTTTCTTGTAACTTGAATTAATAGGTTTGGGTCCTCTGGAGCAGGAGCAAACAAGCTTGCTCCATCTTCTAACCCTGGAGGCTCTGTTGCTCTTGTTAGCCCCATATTACTGATGTGGCTGAATTGTTGCACTGGCTGCTGTTACGCTGCCCAGCCAAATTTAAGGACTTGCTATTGATATATGAAGCCCTGAACAACTTGGGACCAGGTTATCTTTGGGAAAGCTATACATTATACACCCTTCCCAGTCACTTCAGTCCTTGGGAGAGGCACTCCATGGGGCCATATGCTCCCAAAGTTGGTTATGTTCACTAAGATCAGAGCCTTTAGTGTGACAACTCCTTTCCTTTGACATGTACTTCTGCTGGACATCAGGTAGATGTCTACATGGTATTGGCATTTAGGCACCTGCTTAACATTCACCTGTTCACTCAGGCTTTGCCTGATGTGGTGCAACTGTGTTGATGTATTAATTTGATGTACCGGTTTGTGATGTGTTTATTTTATGGGTAGAATTGTATTTTTGTATTTTTACTTATCTGCTGCTTACGACCATATATAGTTTAATGTTGGCAGTACATACATTTTTGCAAATAATAAAACAGAAAACTTATGTCAAGATGCTATGTCGTCAGATTGTTGGTGAGAAGTAGTACAAAATGTAGTTGTTTCACTTTTTAATATGATCTGTGTTATATGTCTTTCAGCTTTGGATGAAGGTGACATTGCTTTGTTGAAAACCTATGTAAGTATTTGTTGCAGTTACAGGTTCAAAATTTTTAAAAAAAAAACTAGTAATATTGGAATGTTTGGAAACATCCACATTAACCAACTGGGAGGAATAAACAGTCCTAAAAGACATACTTTGAGAGGTAGCCTCACTGAAAATAGCAGGGTTTAGTTCTAAGTAAATATGCATAAATTTGTGAGTTTTGCTGCTTCAGCTGGAAGATTTCACTTTCATCTAAAGTAACAGCACCTCAAAACAAAATTCAATTTGGAATAAGCAAATCAAAAGCCTAAATATTACAGTTTCATGTGTGGTTTGGTGAAAAGTTGAAAATTGCAGATTGCTGAGCTAATTTGACTTGAGTAAATATGTGTCTTATTTGCAAAGAGCTGTGTAAGGGTTCATATCTCACGATTAACAAGATCTGACAAAATTCAACATCTGCTTGAAACTTTGCAGAACTGCAGTGCCTACTACCAAGCTAGATTGACCAGTGGTCTGATTAATAAGGTTTATCTGTTCATAGGTCTGCATTTGGGAAGTATCTGTTCAAGTCCCATTCATATATCCACTAGTTTGCCTTACTTTCTCTAATCCAGGGCCAGAGTACATACTCGAGGCAGATCAAGCAAGTCGAAGATGACATTCAGCAGCTGCTTAAGAAAATCAATGAGCTCACGGGTATGTATTTTTAGGGTTCATTGAAAGCATATATCTTTTCCATTTTAGTCTTGCACTTTCAGTTATGGAGCATATGGGCCTGTCGTTCACTACTGCTCACTCCCACGAAAAACTCCAAAGAGGAAGGGTTGTTGAACAAAACAAAGGAACTGAAAACAAAGAAACCTTCATGGGCAGAGAGAAAGGGGAAACATGAGAGAGGAGATGCTGTCAGATACAGAGAGCGGCTTAATTTTAACAATTGGGATGTTGAAGCTGACATGGAAAAGGATAACCAATGTACAATTGAATATCTAGTGTGGTGTAATTGTTAAGACTGGGACCTAAAAGCCCCCAGTTTAAATCTCCTAAAATGCTCCCCCAGGAAGGTTTGCAAACCTGTTGAGTATTACATAGCATTGATGCAAGTGGCAGAGTGGTTTTTCCTTTTTGTCATGTTTATGTTGCATTTGCTGCTGAAACTAATTGAAGCAAGCTATAGCACAGCATTGACCTGAGTGGCAAAGCAAGTAGTTTTTCTGCTTTTGTTTTTTAGGTATTAAGGAATCAGACACTGGCTTGGCTCCCCCTGCTCTCTGGGATCTCGCTGCAGATAAGCAAACTCTTCAGAGTGAGCAGCCACTGCAAGTGGCAAGGTATGCAGATACTTTATCTGGTCAGCCATAGGAGCAAATAGTTATAAAAATGCATAGCGATATAGCCGTTGCTTCTATCCTCCACATGTAATGTGCAATCCCTGTTGCAAACAAGTAACATAGGGTCCTTTCCAGTATAACATATGGAGTTATGCTACAACATAAATATTAAAACTTTGCCCTTTGCATCTGACTGTTTCCTAGGAGCTTTAATTTAATGTTTCATTCTGACATTGTATCTTAAGGCCCGGGTGTTTGAAATCCCTGGGGGTGGGGTAGGTTACACTGAAAGCAGTCTTTAGTTGGATATTTAAAGTGCCACTTCTCATGCTGTTCATGATTACAGTGGTGCCTCGCAAGACGAAATTAATTCGTTCCGCAAGTTTTTTCTTCTTGCGAGTTTTTCGTCTTGCGAAGCACGGTTTCCCATAGGAATGCATTGAAAATCAATTAATGCGTTCCTATGGAAACCGCTTGCCAGGCTGGCGGTGCGGAGAAGGGCTTTTCTCCCCACCGCAAGCCTTCAGGACAGGTACGGGAACAGAGGGGAAGGCACACAGCGCTTCTCCTCTGTTCCCGGGGCTTGCGGTGGGATGAGGGTTTTTCCTCCCCACCGCCAACATTCAGAACAGCCTTCCGAAGCCTGGCAGCGGGGCGGAGAGACCTCCTCCCGCCGTCAGGCTCCGAGCATCCTCGGAGATTTCCCTATGGGCTTTCGTCTTGCGAAGGAAGCCCATAGGGAAATTCGTTTTGCGAAGCGCCTCCAAAACGGAAAACCCTTTCGTCTAGCGGGTTTTCCGTCTTGCGAGGCGTTCGTCTTGCGGGGCACCACTGTATTTAAGTTTTAGGGAGAAAAAGAAATATGGTAGAAGGAAGAATTTTTAGTTATGGTTAGCTAGGCAAGGGCAGAAGAAATTTAGCCTTCCTGTAAGTACTTCTAGAAACCTGGACTTCGAATGGCACTTGGCTGTCAGGCACATTAAACCCTCATTTGCTCACAGATTGCTTGTTTAATTACGTTTCTCTTCTGATTAGATGCACCAAGATAATCAATGCAGATTCTGAGGATCCTAAGTACATTATCAATGTGAAGCAGTTTGCCAAATTTGTGGTTGATCTTAGTGATCAGGTGGCACCCACCGACATTGAAGAAGGGATGAGAGTTGGGTGAGTTGATACCAATATTTTTACTGTTCTTAGTTTGAGTTACTTGACTAGTCATCGAGTCTAGAGGGTTGAATGCACATTTATATTTATAGGAAAATAATATATATGTTGCCTTCCTGCCCTAAATAGGGCTGCCAAGGTGGTTTACAAAATCACAATGCAATTAAAAGATGGAATTCATTCGAACAAGCCATGGTAGAACAAGTGAAATAGTTTTCAAGCGGTATAAACATCTTTGATTGGCTGCCTAAAATACATGCAAGGGGCCAGTCTAACATCCGGTGAGCCAGCACGTTGGATTTGGGACTGGAAACTGAAATAATATTTTCTTATATTGCTGCATAACAAAGTTCCTTGAGAGGTTTATAATAGAAAAAATTAGAGTAAAATACAACAAGCTCGTAAAATGGAATACAAAACAATATCAACATCATACGTAAGGATTTTAATAATTCCCAGATGAAAATGAGAGTACAAGTCAACAAACATTTTCTGAAAGAAAATTATCTTTGCCTGCCTTCGAAAAGAGAACATGGGGAGTGCCTTATCCCTAGGCAGGAAATTTCACAACTGGGATACAGTGGTGCCTCGCAAGACGAAAATAATCCGTTCTGCGAGTCTCTTCGTCTAGCAGTTTTTTCGTCTTGCGAAGCAACCCTATTAGCGTATTAGCAGTTTAGCGGCTATTAAAGGCTTAGAGGCTAAAAGGCTATTAGCGGCTTAGCGGCTATTAAAGGCTTAACGGCTAAAAGGCTCTTAGCGGCTTAGAAAAAGGGGGGGAAGTGAAAAAAAAATCGCAAGACTCGCAAGATGTTTCCGTCTTGCGAAGCAAGCCCATAGGGAAAATCGTATTGGGAAGCGCATCGAAAAACGGAAAACCCTTTCGTCTAGCGGGTTTTTCGTCTTGCGAGGCATTCGTCTTGCGGGGCACCACTGTACTACTGTGGAGAAGGCTCTGGATCCTGCCTTCAGACACTGGGGCTTCTTGAAAGAACTTCTCATCAGAAGCTCTTATTGCATGGGATAGAGGAGGCATCAGATAAACAGGGTCTCTATCATGTAAAGCGTTAAATGTCAAAATGCCAGTTAGGGACCAACTGATAATAGCAGATTCTTTTCAAGGGCCTGAACTAAATGGCACTTGAGGCTTAATCCAGCTAAAAGTGGACAAGTTTTGATTTCAGACCATCTGCAGAGTGTGATCACTTGATACAAGGCACCAGACAAGGTCAGCATTGAACCCAGCAACCACTGGGAAAACTTGATTATAAGCCGAACATGATACGAAAGTGGAGTTTGGTCCTGTTTTCTTCTAGAGTACTATTTGGTTGTAAAATGCCTTGCCTGCAGAATGTAAATAAAATACATCTGAGCTGTGATAAAATACAAGGCACAGAGTTCTCTGGAGAGAGGGTGGGAGAGTGACAAGGATTGAACAAGTTGTCCCTCCACCTGGATTCCTTCAATATGTTGCTGTGGTGCCACATGGCATACCTGTCTGTCCAAATGTGTCCCTTGGTATTCCAAACTACCCATTCCGATCCCTCACCCTCACTATGTAACCAGCCTCACCAGTATCAAATGGAGAAAAGCCTTTACATCTCCGTGGCTGCAGTCTATTCACTCTGCCATGGTTGAAGGATGCTTTTGCCAGACCCCCTTATGAAGAGAGAGTTTGCCCCTGTGGAGGTAATGTGCATTTGTATTCTATTTCTGCAGTGTTGACAGAAACAAGTATCAGATTCATATCCCTCTGCCTCCAAAGATTGATCCAACTGTTACTATGATGCAGGTAAGAACTCTTATTGCTATTGGCCTTTGATTGTTTACCTTTGTAATCTGACTTCATTGTAACCTGCTCTTCTTATTTCATAAGATCTGTTAAAAAAACACGTTATTGCAAATAACAAAGATGTATGCACATCTGTTTTGTTACAAAGGTAGAGGAAAAGCCTGATGTCACCTACAGTGATGTTGGAGGTTGTAAAGAACAGATTGAGAAGCTAAGAGAGGTGGTGGAAACACCCTTGCTTCATGTAAGTATTGTAATAGAAGGTGTGTGTGATCTGCTGATTTTATTCCTCTTACAGCTTTCAAGGGCTAATTGCATATACCGCAAGAACCTAAATTATTCAGTAGTCAAAAGGCTTTTAAATCGATTTACGTTTCAGTTGTCAAGATTTAATATGTTCCTTTCGTTCACCTTTCGAGGAAAGTATGAATTGCTTTGTTAGATCTGACAAAACTTCATCTAGTCCACTGTTTTGGAAATTCCTCTTCTAGGCTGCCACAAGTGGGGCACAAAACAATGCCCTTTTGTCATATGTCACAATAGTATTAGGGATTCAGAGTGATGCTACCCTGTTAGTATCCTCCTGTGATCAAGCTGACTGCTTGAATAGGGCAGTGCTGTCTTTGTGAAATTGCAGGGAACATGTACCATTGAAGGCTTGAAGAAAGGGAATGGCAAAGGGAAATGTCTTTATCTGCTTGCATTATTGAAGTTTCAGTGCCTTCCTATTGGCTTTGCACCGACTCTCTTGTTACACAGCGCTGCACAGCTTTCTTGCCACTCGGCCCTTCTTGACTTGTGCACTACTTTTAAAATGGAAGATTTCTTGACAGTTCATTGATAGTACTAAAATTGTACTGCTGTGGCAAGCTTGGGCTCCTGCAGGGCTTTGGCTGCCATTGGGTCCAGTCTAGGGCCAGGGAAAGATACTGCATTTCATCCTGTCTGTGCAACTTTTAAACTTACTGTCTCCCAACCACTACAGCCAGAACGATTTGTCAATCTGGGGATCGAGCCCCCTAAAGGAGTGCTTCTCTTTGGCCCGCCGGGGACAGGAAAAACTCTCTGTGCTCGTGCTGTTGCTAATAGGACTGATGCCTGCTTCATCCGAGTGATTGGATCTGAGCTGGTGCAGAAATACGTAGGAGAGGTAAGGAAAAGAGGGAGCATGTCTGTGCATCTGTACCAGGGGAGGTCAAGTTTCCAGAAAGCCTGCTCAAACTATACTTAATCTTAAGTTTTCCTGCAGAGGAGGGTGAAAGTCTCTGCCTTAATATTATACAGTATGATTAAAAACCTGGACCTCTTTATATATTTGTTCACTCCTCTGGCAGTTTGGGTCATATAGAATCTGAAGCCTGTCTTTTTATGTAGGGTATGTGAGATACTGTATGATGTGCAGTAGGCTATTCGCATGAGTTGGGACAGCCAGGCACCAGTTATGTCCTGGAATGAACTGCAACTAAAATGATGTCCCGTAATGATCACAGTTTTACCTCTTGGTTCTGTAGATTCATTTGGAAGTTTTAATATTTACTTTAAATACTCTTAACTCAAGTGACAGTTGGCTTTATATGAAAGTAAACCGTCTGTCTGTCTTTTTATAGGGTGCTCGAATGGTTCGGGAACTCTTTGAAATGGCCAGAACAAAAAAAGCTTGCCTTATCTTCTTTGATGAAATTGATGCTATTGGAGGTTGGTATCACCTTACATCAGTGCCCGTCTGAAACTGGACTACAACTCTTTATTCTTTATTCTTGGCTTAGCACTCATGGTGCGTTTGGAGAGAAACAAACCACTAGCTCGAGTTTTTACATAACAACAAGCCACACCCTGGCTTGTTTTTCTATCTGGTGCAGCAACAGCAGGAACAGGGATAAGCTAGTAAGTGTGGCCTAGCACACTACTCACATTAAAGCATAGGTGAATTTATTGTTCAAACCAGGTCCCCTTTCTCTATGTCAGGTTAGTCTGTTTGGAAGACGATTAGGTAATAGAATGGCAGAAGCAACTTGATATTTGGCCTCTCTGCTGTGCTACTTCATGCTGGTCTCTGTAGCACCAGCAAAGAACAAGGAAAAGTATTTCACAAAAGTATATCCTGCTAGTAATATCCTTTTTTTAAAAAAAGAATGTGATATTTTGATTTACTTCAGTAGCCATAGATAACATGGTATGGGAGTACACCTGAATTGCATTTTCTTGTTTTGGGGGTACAGTTAACAAGGGTGCCTTATGAGTTTCTCCTGCTGTCTCTTTCTAGGGGCTCGCTTTGATGATGGGGCTGGAGGGGACAATGAAGTCCAGCGCACTATGCTAGAATTGATAAACCAGCTTGATGGCTTTGATCCAAGAGGCAACATTAAAGTACTGATGGCAACCAACAGACCTGATACTTTGGATCCAGCACTGATGAGGCCTGGAAGACTGGATAGAAAAATAGAATTTAGCCTGCCAGATCTGGAGGTTAGACTAATTTTATTTTGATACTAAGTGAAGCCAATAAGAACACATTTATTAGAACTTGAAGGACTGAAGGTGATAATTTTTTCTATTAGCTCTCAGAAAATGGATTTGATCAAATAGTCATTTTGCACCACAGCTGATTCTCTCTTGTCAAAAGGATTCTGGTGGGCAATTTTAGACCTTTCCTGTCTGTCTAGACAATTTCAAATTATGTATTTGACCTGGTGCTTCTGTCTAATGACAAATTCCAAAAGAGTAACTCTGTGTTGTAGCAGTTAACAAAAAGGAAAATAATATTGTAGTCCAGCCCACAAAAGGTCGTACTGTGCTGTGCTTGTCTTGAAGATGCCACAGGATTGTCTGCGCTTCCTGTTGTTCTGAGGGGGTGACATGGACAACAGCATAGGCAATAGGAAAGTATGACGCCTTAAGGGAAAGTGCAGGTTGTTATTTCATAGAATTGTAGAGTTTGAAAGGTCCACAAAGATCATCTAGTCCAATTTCCTGCATTGCAGAAATCTTTCACCCAACATTTGGCTCTGGGGCTTGAACCCATGATCTGTGGAGCAGCTGCTGCCTTCTGCTCACTCACCTGCCCTGTTCCTTTGGAGAAGGGGCAGATAAGGGATTAGTGGAGGCTGGTGGGCAAGGAGGTGGTTGCAGAACAGCAGCTCTGGACCTTTCCAAAGTGCTGGAGCCTCAACAGTTGCTTAAGGATGCACTCCCCCATTGTTGTCCCTTCAAAGGACAAATCATATTGGCTGAACAACTGCTTTACTCCCAGGTGCATCACTAGACATCAGACGATGGGGAATATCAAGCAGCTTTCCAGGCCTCTCTTTTTGGCCCTCTGGATTTTCCCCAGGCCACTGGTCTTGCTCTGTACCCTCAAGTGCTTTTTGCTTGACCGGCAATGTGTTTCTGAACTGGGACAATGTCCCTTGCTTGAATGGGTGGAGGGTGGTGTGGCTGGAATGTAACACTCTACCAAATTACGAGTCACATCTGTTGCCCTGCTGACTTTTGTCTTTGGCCTTCCCAACACTGATGTGTAGATGGCAACAAGGGGATGAAGCCCTTATGCTTAGTCTGTCTGTGGTTGCTTTTTTAGGGACGAACTCACATCTTCAAGATTCATGCCCGTTCAATGAGTGTTGAAAGAGACATAAGATTTGAGTTGCTAGCTCGGCTGTGCCCTAACAGCACTGGTAAGTCAAACATCATAGTTCTTGTTCTCTCTCTCTGTTTGGTGGTGATGGTTGTTTCAGATTGTTTTTACATCCACTGTTCTTCCTTGCAAGGTGCTGAAATTCGAAGTGTGTGTACAGAGGCAGGTATGTTCGCCATCCGAGCAAGGAGAAAAATTGCCACTGAAAAGGACTTCTTGGAAGCTGTGAACAAAGTAATCAAGTCATATGCCAAATTCAGTGCTACACCTCGTTATATGACTTACAACTGATTCTAGATACCACTGAGAAATCTCCTTCATATGGCTAATACTATGCAGAGTAATATCAAAAGTTCTAGTTTGTGTGTGTGGTGTAACATAGTTGGACTAGTAGAAATAAATGGAATATTCCAAGTTACATGGTGTAGTTCCTTATGATATTCAGTAAAAATGTTTAACTGCATATTACCCTTCCTAGATCTAATGAACTCTGTTTAGGAGTACCTCTTCCTTTCTGCAAGCTTTTGAGTGGGACATACCCTGTATAGCACTGTGAAATCAGTAACTACCTCATTGAAAGTGGAGTACATGTTACCTTCATTAATAACAAACCCCAACATTTGAGATTCCAAAACTTTGGCACCAGTTTCAAGGGAGTCATTTTGCAGTGAAACCCCCGTTTTTTACAGTGCCCCACAGTGCCTTTTTGTATCATATTTTGGTGTCATTTAGGAGGAAATCTGTAAAAAGGTTTTTCATTATACACTTGAATTTCCATAACAATGTGCTTAATCAGACTAGATCACTGGCCTCCCTTTTTAAAAAAGAATAATTGCCATTAATGTCTATTACTGTCTCAGGTCACAAAACCTTTAACCTAATAGATAGGTGCATATCTATCTTGACTACCATAACATCTAAAAATAAGCAGAAGGGAAATGGAAGAACTTAGCACAAGCTGCAAAAAATGGCTTTTATGGGATTTTTAAAATTTACTACATAAAATGTAGTTTTGAAAGCCAGTGCTGAACATTTGAAAGATATTGTACAGTGCAATTCTTCAGTAGATGGTACAAGAATACATTTTACAACAATGCCTCCACAATAAAGCGTCAAAGGAAAGTAGCAAGCAGTCCATGTCTCCCAGGCTTGCTGCATCATCTGTACTCTTTTCAGTAATCCACAGTGCTAAAAATATCCATGTAGTGCAATATCTCATCTGCTGGCACATTTCTGAACAACAACAAAAAAGAAACTCCCAAATCTTTTAGGATGCTTTCAGGAAAATACACGAGTCTTCTTTTTTATACAAACCAGTTCAGGCTATACCTGACTTCAATTTTTGAAAGTATTAAGGCTTCAAATTCTTCAGAGAGCATCCTGGCAGAAAACAAGGCGGCCCTACTACTGTGTCACATACCCGTAAGACTGGCTAATCTTAGGCGCTGTATAATCTGTGCAAATTAAGTATTAAAGAGAAGCCCTTGAAATTTCATCAATGCACCACCATACAATTTATGATGCAGGAGTTCACACCACAACATCTACAGGAGTCTGCGAGGCTGAGAGGCCTTTCAGTTGGCTGAAGAGGACAGCATCATGGGTACTGGGAAACAGCAAGTCTCTGCGAGCATCTTTGTCAAAGAAATGTAGTCTAGCAAGGTTCTCCACAACCGATCCTAGGTAGAAAAGAAAAAGCTTTAAAGGGGTGTGGGTATAAAATTGTACAGCCTCTATTTCATTCCTGTGATCTGACTAAACAGTTTACCTATGCAAAACCACACACACCTGCCCATGTTGCTGGAGGAGGAACAATGCATGCAATGGGAGGTGTGTGCTTAGTTCCGGGTGCAATATAGGAGCTACGGCTGTATCTATATAGTCCCAGTATGAGGGGGAAACTGAGCGGCATTCAGCTAACTAGTTTCATCAACACAAGGATGTCCACTGGCACAATGGAACTTCACACCCTCCCATTATCTGCTCTGGAGGCTTGGGGGAACCCCAAGAACAGATTTATGGGGCTCATGGTGGGAGTAAATGTCAAAATCTGCTCTCGTGCCTCCTGCAAGTCTCCAGAGCCAATTTTAAGGGAGCAGAAGAGGGAGGAGGCAAGAGAGGAATAGGAAGAGGAAGCTTTGCTCCATGCCCTGAAGTCGGTGGCTTCATTGGTGTTGCAGTACTGGACGTGGCCCCAAATATTGTGATATTTTAAGACACCATTTCTAACTCCCATGGCTGTGAAGAGGTGTTTGTGCGTCCATTCAAGCACCCTTGAGAGTCTGCAGCAAAACAAATGTGTGCAAAATGCCTGAACTTATTTTGAATACTGAATTTGAGCACTCTTACAGAAAAGTTCAAGTAGTAATCCAACATGCATACAAATTGGATGCAGCATTACCCATAGTGTGGTGAAAAACTTCAGAGAAAGACTGCAAGCCAGAGAGCACTTTTGGGCACACTGAGGGCACCGCTGAGTTTAAAAACCAGCTGGATAAAAGTGGATCAAAAGTCACAGGGCTCCATACAGCCTCCAGGCTGTTCTTTTAACAGTAACTAGTGTGTTAACCAACTAACAAGATCCTCTCCTCTTTCTTCAAAAATGCCCACAGTTACACAGGTAAGGACCAAGTATCTCATTCCTTGGGTTTATCTTCAACAGTTGCAGGTTGCTGGGATTTACATTAGCACTTTCTCCTGTTCTTTAGCTGAATTTGCTGGTGTTACAGTCACTTCATCTGCACTTCAGGCAGAAAGGAGAGACAGGCATAGCTTGTATGATATGGGGTTGATCAGGAAGCCACAAATCACTAACACACCATGTTTCTAGCATCTTTGCTATGTACAATCAGGCAGTAGACCAATATTTGCCTCAGGCCTTAGAGAGCTGCTGCCAGTTAGATTAGATGATGCAAGGCTAGATGTGGGGGTGGGGGAGGGGGGGGTCAAAAGTGACCACAGCAAGTCCATGATTCCCAACTGTCAAACAGGCTTACCATTGCAGCCGCTGATATACACTGAAACTCCTATTTCTTCGTATTCTTTTATGATCTGCAACAGTGCAGAAATTAATTTGCAGTTAATATATTTGTATTTTAAAAGTCATCGTCATAACATACACATGCCCTTTTAAAATTGAGCAGTTATTCTAGAAATACCAAGGGAGAAATTGGGAGGCAAGGAGTACGGTGCTTAGAAGTGCAATCCTTTGCATGCCTATGCTGAAGTTAAGTCCTTTCAAATTGAATGGGACTTAATCTCAGGTTAAGTGTCTATAGGATTGCAGCCTAAATAGCTAGGGAGCCTGTGGCCCCCCAGATTTTGCTGGACTGCGACTCCCATCATATTTGATTACTGGCTGACCAGTGACACTTGGAAGGCCACAAATCCTCCCACCCTGTTTTGAGGCCTAAGACAGCAGGAAGCTCTTCTGTGCAAGCCTCTTTGAAATGGACGTGAGCTGTGCACGGTCTTGTGCAAGAGAGCTCCCTTTACTTGGTACATGGATGCATGAAACTTTGTCTTTGATGTGTGCCTTAAAGCAGCAAAAGGTATTCTGGTAGCAAGGTATTAAGTGTAGGATATGGCAATGAGATAAGATGCCACGTACTGAATTTAGGGCTTTGACTCCAACTGAATCCACGAAGTTCACAGGTGAACAATCCAAAATGATGGTGTGAATGTTGGTCACTGGCTCCATAAAGCGCTCGAGCTCATCGGGAGAGGAGTCCTGTGTAGTTGCAGAGAACTTTCCGTTGAGCGGCAGTTCGTCATTCATTACTTCATGTTTCACACTGTTCTCTGTGTAGTTTGTCTTTCACAAAAGATAAATAAATACCAGACTTAAGTATAGGTTTTTGCTTCTTTCAATCAATAGTTCCTACAATCAGCACAGGATGTCATATTAACTCTACATAAACAACAACAACAACAACAACAGTTCCACATGCACACTTGTTCTCTGTGTAAATGAATGTAAAGGGTTGACTCTATGTAAATATTTATCTAGAGAGAGCTCATTGTTTACATACAAATTAGGAAATATCAAAGGACAAGTATCAGCGTTACTATATAAGGACACATGTTGTGATGGAAAAGTTGGTTCCACAAGTGTTTCTTTTTACTTTTTTCTCCTACTAGCAAATGGTTACAGAATGGCAGCCTCTGATTGGCTGTGGTTCCAGGAGAGAGAGTTTAAAAGGAGAGGCTTTGGAGGGAGATAGGGTCAGTGTGGTTAAGTGGGTGTGTGAATCTGCCCTTCGGACATCCTCATTCTAAAACAAGTCTGAATCTAAAACATAATTGTCCAGTCATTCTTTGTTTTTGTGTGCCTCTCTGGAACAGTAAAAGCTTCTTTTGTGAGATCAGCAGGAGGAACAATGATGGCAACTCTCTTGGTGCAGCAGTTTCATTCTGCACCACAAGGGGGGAGTGTGGTCAGGCAACAAAAGTAACAGCTAGTTTTGATCCACATCTTGCTCCCTATTCATATCACATGTCACCAGCACTCTCCCCAAATCCCAATGTTTGTATTTAACAGGGATTCTATTAAGGCAAACTGCTGCTCACATGCTGCATGTCGTAATGGACTTGAAACAAACCCATTTGATTCCTGAGTATTTCCTCCCTCCCTCATAAAGGAAATGCAAAATTGTCAATCAAATGACCTCAGCTGCACTAAACACACACCTTTATGTTCCTATTGCACTGACACCCTTGTAAAAATCAGGCATAGTACTGGACAAGGGTAGGGTAGCCAACTATCAAAACATAGCCTATGCATAGCTCAAAAATAGCACCAGCCTCAAGAACATGATACTCCTTCATCTGACCCTTCTCTTAAATGAATTTCCTTCCTTCCCACCGATTAAGTAAAATGCCAACATAGATCTCAACCATGGTTAATACTAACCAGGTTTCTGTACAAACCGTTATTTCAGATCCAGGCAAACTGGAGACCAAACTAACATTAGGCAAAGACAGCAGACATTTCAGTTAGCTGCAGGAGGGGGAAATTAATGCTTTGCAAGAAGAGAAAGCTGGTTCTCAATTTATTAAATCACTGCTAAGGAGGAGTCAGAGCCTGTGCCAGGAAACACTTGCAAGGCTTACCACTTTCAGGACTGCTGTTTTCTTTTGTTCATGAAGGTGCTTCAGTTCCTTTCTGTGCCTTTTCTGGGCTTTCTTCCTTGCTGCCAAGACTGCACAGGGATCAACACCAGTCTATAGCAGAAACAAGGCAAAAAAAAACCCCAGAGAAGATTCATCTTTGTAAAGTGGTAACCAAGCCATGGGTTTTGCCATAACAACATTCATAACCCTTTAAGGTGCTGCAGGACTCTTTGTTTGCCTTTTAAAAGGTCACCTTTCAGCAGCTATTAAAGAAGTAAAATTAATTCACTTGCCAAATTGGTGAAT